TTATTTTTAATAAAATGCTAAAGTGGTAGGTAGATGCAAGATAAAGGTAGAAAACATAGTTTAGTGCTGTAAGAGGGCAAATGTAGATGATCAGGTGTGTGCCTATGGACTAAGTATTAATCCAAGCTAGACAAGGACAACAAAACATCCACGGATGCAGAAGATTTCTCTCAAAGCAGGGGGGGTGAGGTTCTGAGCCTCACCTCTGTTGTGGATCCAGATTTTTATCTGATACACCATTTTCTACCTGAAGAACTTCCTTTAACAGTTTTTTAGTGCATGTCTGTTCGTGCTGAATTCTTTAGAATTTTCTTTTTAAAAAAATTTATTTTGCCTTCATTTTTTGGAAGATATTTTTGCTGAATATAGAGTGCTAGATTTACCATGTTTCTTTTACTAGTTTAATAATTTTCCCATTGTCTTGTGGTTGCATAGATTCTGAAGAGAAACATGCTATCATTTGTATTTTTGTTGCTCAATATTTTTATTACTGTTTTATGAGCTACTTGATTATTGCATACCTTGGCACGCTTTTCTTTATAATTATTTTGCTTGTGGTTTGTCAAGATTCTTGGATTTCCTCTTTATATTTTTCATCAGGTTTGGAAATTTTCCAGCTAAATTTTCCAGTTGTTTTTTTCTGTTTTTATTTTGTTTTTTCCCCCTCAGCCTCCAATTACTGCGTATCGGTATGGGTCTCTGATGCTCTGTTCATAGTTTTGAACCTTTGAACCTGTTTCTGTCCTGTTTTTTTAGCCTGTTGCAGTGTCTTCAAGATCACTAATCTTTTCTTCTGCATTATCTTGGGCTAGTAATCCCATTCTGTGTAGTTTACACTTCAAATAGTTTTTTTCATCTCTATAAGCTTTATTTATTTAAAATATATTTTCCCTTTCTCTCCTCAGCAGATTCACATTTTCCACTACTTTCTTGAATATACAGAATGTATTAATAAAAGTCCTTTAATGTCCTCTGCTAATTCCATCCTCTCTTTTTCAATGTCTGTTGATTGATTTTTTTCTTGGTTTTGGTTCACATGTCCTTGCTCCTCTGCATGTCTTGTTACTTCTGGATGTTTTTACGGTGCTGGATGCTGGGTTTTGTTGAATTCCTTTAAGTGCTGGACTTTGTTCTGGCAGCTCGTTAAGTAACATGGAATTAGTTTTACCTTTTTTTAACTTGCTTTTATGCTTCTTAAGGTCTGTGGATAGCAGCCTTTAGTTTGGGGCCGCTTGAGTTCCACTACTAAATCGATGCCCTTGGAGGTCTTCTCCCCACTCCTCTTACAGTATGAATTCTTTGTGCTCTGGTTTGCGGGAACAGAAACCATTTCCGGCCCTGAAAGAGCTCTGGTTGTTTTGGGACCTCCTGCTCTCCAGTGGTACTTTCCTAACCCTTGAGTACTTCCTTCTGACACGTTACAGATCCGTATTCCATCCAAATCCCAGGAATCCTCTTTGTGCAGCTCCATCCTCTCTGGCCTTCTGCCCTCCCCACAGCTTCGAGCCACCTTGGCTTCCCTGAACTGTGACCTCTGTCTCCATAACTCAGAAAGACCGCTGCACTCTGAGGTTCCCCTTGTGCTGAGCCCTGGAGAAACTTCTCTGGGCAGTAAATGGGCTCCCCTCATTCATTTCCTTCCCAGGGATCGCGGTCCTGCACTGCCTGTTTGTCCAATGTCTAGAAAGTGTCGCCTCAGATTTGTCTAAAGTTGTTGAAAACAGGAAGTTAAATCCCCGATAGGCCAGATGTCCATAAGTGCATGTCTGTCTTTTCTTTTGAATCAGAATTCCAAGGGTTTATGTTCTTTTTTGATAAAAAGGATTATATGAAGGGAGACACCTTTAAAGATTTCACCAGCTGTTTTAAAGATAATTGACTTTTAAGTACAGGATGTTACTTAAGCTGACCTTTGTGTACAAATGTGACCAGTAGGTTTTTGCTAAATTGCATTTATAAACATACTTAACATAATACATTTTTCACAGTTCTGATCAGTGGATTAAAGGTTCTGAGAAACTTGGGGTAGAGGTACCTGTTTATTTGCTTAACGTAGTATTTTACAAACTTGGTTGACTTGAGAACCCTTTTGTCATCTACACCTTTAACCTAAAAAATGCTTTGGAAATACCGCCATGAACTTTTTTTTTTTTAATTTTTTGTTTTTGGTCTTCATTACCATTTTAGTGACTGCAAAATATTACACTGAGAGTAAGTACTGTAGACCCACTTCTTCGCATTGTAAAGCCACTCCAATATATTGCTACTATTGATGAGTACTTCAGCAATGCCAGTTAATGCCTGTAGCTTTTTCTAAATATTATTATTGTAGGTTTCTAGAAGTGGGTGATAGGGCCAAAAAATACAAAAAGTTTTTATGGCTCTAATTTGTATTACCTGATTGATTATCCAAGAAATCTGTTCATTTGTGTAACCTCTTGACATTGGGTACAATAGTACTGTTTGTGGCTGCTTCATTAAAAGGGAAAGTGTGTCCTCCTTGTTAACAGCGGTTGGTCAATGGATGGAGAAGCCACATGAATCATTCCATGACCAGTCCCTCCAGATGTATTATGTAACTTAATGGTTCTCAGTGTAGTGGGTTTATGTCTGGAATTGTGATTTCCCATACTTTCACTGGATATTTATTGGTCTGCTTTCCCTCTCCTAATTTCTTTTTGCACCTCTTTGAAGTATACTCTTTTTTGAATTAACGATTTCTCATGTCATAACTCTTCTCCTCCACTAAACAGTGTGACTATGAAAATGTTCCAACAACTGTGTTTACTCCTTTGGAATACGGTTCTTGTGGTCTTTCTGAAGAGAAAGCTGTGGAGAAATTCGGGGAAGAAAATATTGAAGTAAGTTATACCTTTCACTATGGTTCGTTACTACTAGTTTTTCAAAATTTAAAGTAATATCAATCATACAGAAAAGTTGAAAAATAGTACAAAGAACTTCATATGCTCATTATGCAGATTCACATATTAACATTTACTCACTTGTTTTATACTTTTCATATTCACTGTATGTATCTGTTTTTTTCCCTGAATCATTTGAAAGTAATTAAATGCCAGATTGTTTTAAAAATTGACACTGTATCACAGTATCAAAGAACACTTATTATAATGTCTGCATAATCAATGTTTTTAAAAGATAGTCAGCCATATATGTTTTGAATTGAGGCTAGTGGTTGAAGAAGAAAAAAAAAATCCCTTGATCTCCAGACTTAAATTTATGAAATATCTGTAAAGAGCCTGTGCGGCCCTCCACCTGCCCCTTCCTTCTTCCCTCCCCCTCTCCTCCTCTCCTTCAGTACTTTGGTGGGTAATGCCGAGGAGGAAGCACTAAGCCAGAGAACTAGATAATTGCTATAATTGTCCCTGGCACCTTACTTATTTCTTGCCCAAAGCTGTCAATCTTATACAAGATAGTATTGGGTTCTTTTCTCTTTTTTTTAAATGCAAGACGATAAGTGATTACCTGGCTTCTTTCTCTCATTTGCTTGCTCTTTGTTGTTATTACTACTTAAGTTGTATACTCTTGAGGTTGTGATGTAATTAAGGTGGGCACTTATAGCAAAAGGGCCTGACAACAGGAGTTCAAAATCATTTGCCTTCTGACCAAATTCCTATTTATTCCATAAAGTTTGTTGTTTAACGAAAGTCTAATTAACCAAGATCCTCCACTGTCTAACATCATACCTACTGTTTAACAAAACACTTCTTAGGATAATGAGTCTAAATTGTGCTTATGTCTTCTCAGATTTACCATAGTTACTTCTGGCCGCTGGAATGGGCAATTCCATCAAGAGATAACAACAAATGTTATGCAAAAATAGTCTGTAATATCAAAGACAATGTAAGTGCAGTTCTCATTTAATCCTGTCTAATAATTTCACTTTGTTTTGAATGTGTAGCTCTATTTTGATCACGATTCACACTGCATTGCTTTAGTATTTTACCTATCAATCTCTCTAGCTGTGTAGATATTACTCAATGGCCAGGACCCTGGTGACAATGCAGGATCTTTCTGTTTCACCTGCACAGGGCCCTGCCCATAGCAGGCAGGCTGTCAAAACTTGCTAAGTGAAAAAAACAGTGGGACAACTTGAGGACTCTGTGTGTGTGTGTGTGTGTGTGTGTGTGTGTGTAGTTTTACCTTTTTTTAACTTGCTTTTATGCTTCTTAAGGTCTGTGGATAGCAGCCTTTAGTTTGGGGCCGCTTGAGTTCCACTACTAAATCGATGCCCTTGGAGGTCTTCTCCCCACTCCTCTTACAGTATGAATTCTTTGTGCTCTGGTTTGCGGGAACAGAAACCATTTCCGGCCCTGAAAGAGCTCTGGTTGTTTTGGGACCTCCTGCTCTCCAGTGGTACTTTCCTAACCCTTGAGTACTTCCTTCTGACACGTTACAGATCCGTATTCCATCCAAATCCCAGGAATCCTCTTTGTGCAGCTCCATCCTCTCTGGCCTTCTGCCCTCCCCACAGCTTCGAGCCACCTTGGCTTCCCTGAACTGTGACCTCTGTCTCCATAACTCAGAAAGACCGCTGCACTCTGAGGTTCCCCTTGTTGTGCTGAGTCCTGGAGAAACTTCTCTGGGCAGTAAATGGGCTCCCCTCATTCATTTCCTTCCCAGGGATCGCGGTCCTGCACTGCCTGTTTGTCCAATGTCTAGAAAGTGTCGCCTCAGATTTGTCTAAAGTTGTTGAAAACAGGAAGCTAAATCCCCGATAGGCCAGATGTCCATAAGTGCATGTCTGTCTTTTCTTTTGAATCAGAATTCCAAGGGTTTATGTTCTTTTTTGATAAAAAGGATTATATGAAGGGAGACACCTTTAAAGATTTCACCAGCTGTTTTAAAGATAATTGACTTTTAAGTACAGGATGTTACTTAAGCTGACCTTTGTGTACAAATGTGACCAGTAGGTTTTTGCTAAATTGCATTTATAAACATACTTAACATAATACATTTTTCACAGTTCTGATCAGTGGATTAAAGGTTCTGAGAAACTTGGGGTAGAGGTACCTGTTTATTTGCTTAACGTAGTATTTTACAAACTTGGTTGACTTGAGAACCCTTTTGTCATCTACACCTTTAACCTAAAAAATGCTTTGGAAATACCGCCATGAACTTTTTTTTTTTTAATTTTTTGTTTTTGGTCTTCATTACCATTTTAGTGACTGCAAAATATTACACTGAGAGTAAGTACTGTAGACCCACTTCTTCGCATTGTAAAGCCACTCCAATATATTGCTACTATTGATGAGTACTTCAGCAATGCCAGTTAATGCCTGTAGCTTTTTCTAAATATTATTATTGTAGGTTTCTAGAAGTGGGTGATAGGGCCAAAAAATACAAAAAGTTTTTATGGCTCTAATTTGTATTACCTGATTGATTATCCAAGAAATCTGTTCATTTGTGTAACCTCTTGACATTGGGTACAATAGTACTGTTTGTGGCTGCTTCATTAAAAGGGAAAGTGTGTCCTCCTTGTTAACAGCGGTTGGTCAATGGATGGAGAAGTCACATGAATCATTCCATGACCAGTCCCTCCAGATGTATTATGTAACTTAATGGTTCTCAGTGTAGTGGGTTTATGTCTGGAATTGTGATTTCCCATACTTTCACTGGATATTTATTGGTCTGCTTTCCCTCTCCTAATTTCTTTTTGCACCTCTTTGAAGTATACTCTTTTTTGAATTAACGATTTCTCATGTCATAACTCTTCTCCTCCACTAAACAGTGTGACTATGAAAATGTTCCAACAACTGTGTTTACTCCTTTGGAATACGGTTCTTGTGGTCTTTCTGAAGAGAAAGCTGTGGAGAAATTCGGGGAAGAAAATATTGAAGTAAGTTATACCTTTCACTATGGTTCGTTACTACTAGTTTTTCAAAATTTAAAGTAATATCAATCATACAGAAAAGTTGAAAAATAGTACAAAGAACTTCATATGCTCATTATGCAGATTCACATATTAACATTTACTCACTTGTTTTATACTTTTCATATTCACTGTGTGTATCTGTTTTTTTCCCTGAATCATTTGAAAGTAATTAAATGCCAGATTGTTTTAAAAATTGACACTGTATCACAGTATCAAAGAACACTTATTATAATGTCTGCATAATCAATGTTTTTAAAAGATAGTCAGCCATATATGTTTTGAATTGAGGCTAGTGGTTGAAGAAGAAAAAAAAAATCCCTTGATCTCCAGACTTAAATTTATGAAATATCTGTAAAGAGCCTGTGCGGCCCTCCACCTGCCCCTTCCTTCTTCCCTCCCCCTCTCCTCCTCTCCTTCAGTACTTTGGTGGGTAATGCCGAGGAGGAAGCACTAAGCCAGAGAACTAGATAATTGCTATAATTGTCCCTGGCACCTTACTTATTTCTTGCCCAAAGCTGTCAATCTTATACAAGATAGTATTGGGTTCTTTTCTCTTTTTTTTAAATGCAAGACGATAAGTGATTACCTGGCTTCTTTCTCTCATTTGCTTGCTCTTTGTTGTTATTACTACTTAAGTTGTATGCTCTTGAGGTTGTGATGTAATTAAGGTGGGCACTTATAGCAAAAGGGCCTGACAACAGGAGTTCAAAATCATTTGCCTTCTGACCAAATTCCTATTTATTCCATAAAGTTTGTTGTTTAACGAAAGTCTAATTAACCAAGATCCTCCACTGTCTAACATCATACCTACTGTTTAACAAAACACTTCTTAGGATAATGAGTCTAAATTGTGCTTATGTCTTCTCAGATTTACCATAGTTACTTCTGGCCGCTGGAATGGGCAATTCCATCAAGAGATAACAACAAATGTTATGCAAAAATAGTCTGTAATATCAAAGACAATGTAAGTGCAGTTCTCATTTAATCCTGTCTAATAATTTCACTTTGTTTTGAATGTGTAGCTCTATTTTGATCACGATTCACACTGCATTGCTTTAGTATTTTACCTATCAATCTCTCTAGCTGTGTAGATATTACTCAATGGCCAGGACCCTGGTGACAATGCAGGATCTTTCTGTTTCACCTGCACAGGGCCCTGCCCATAGCAGGCAGGCTGTCAAAACTTGCTAAGTGAAAAAAACAGTGGGACAACTTGAGGACTCTGTGTGTGTGTGTGTGTGTGTGTGTGTGTGTGTGTTTACAAGGGAGCAATGAAGTCATCAGCTGCCTAGAAATACTGACAAAATATAAAAGAGCACGAGTAATGGAAGTTTATATCCTAAGTAGCTGGCACTAAGAAAGGTGTAATGGGAAGGGCTCTTAATTGGGTTCTGATTTAAGGGTGTACTGCCTGCTGCCTGCATGTAACAACTGGTAACTGAAGGCGTGTGGGCAAACTCCTTGCCCTAACAGCTCGTTTCCATCCCTCAGAGTGATGGTGTCAGTCAGTGGTTTTTAAACTTCTCTCACTGCTGCTCCCATTTATATTGTAGCCAAGGACATACATGTGTACATACACATACTTGTGAATTAAATCTTATGGAACTGATATTTTTAACTTAGTTGGGACCTCATCTTAAAAAGTATGTCCTCAGTAAAAATGTAAACAGTGCTAAAGAATTCATGTGTCATAAACCTAATCAAGTCATAATTTCTTATCTTGGGATTTGAATATAATTAAGCCATGTGTCCTGTTCAGAAACTACTACTCTAGATGTTAGCGCAGTTATAAGTTGCTTTTTGTAGAACCCAGGATTCTAGGAAAACCTGTACCTTCTACAAAAAAGGTAAATACATTTAATACCTGAATATACTAAGGTAACCCATAGGAAGCTGTATAGCTGACATAAAGAACAAGTTTGTGTAGTGTTTTTTCTACTTAACTGTGTTTCATTAGAAGTTTATTTGTATGAGTAGACATTAGATACCATTCTGTACTCAGTAGGAGAAACCCTCAGGTGTTGTTCTCATTAGCTTTTGGGTATTGCTTCTGGCAAGAGATACTTGAGTTGTACATAGCATCAAGGGAATCTCAAGTTTCCTTCAGAGCATGCCAGTCTGTTTTAGCTGTATATAAATGGTCTTGTCTTTGCACTGCTGTGTCATTTGTTCAAATGGCATTTTAAAAACATAATATGAAAATTTTCACTACCAATACACCCATCTTAATTAGTTGAGGTCATAAGTAGGGTGATAATTGTTTTCAATTATTTTCATAGACAAGGACGGTATTAGAAAAGACGAGTACTTGTCATCATGGCTCTTCCACATGAGCAATCTCATACCAAAGCATGCTTCCAGAACTTGACCATCCTTGGAGCATGCTTTATTCATTTTGAGTCAGCCCCTGCACAGTGTCTAAATGTGCTTGGTCTTTCCAGTGTCTGTTGTCTTCTAGGCTTTCACTCTTTTTGTATGCTGTTCTTTTTTGTACATGAAATACTTAAAACTTACAGAAAGGTAGAGAAAATACCCGCCATCTAGATTCAATGAATGTTAACATTTTGCTCTGTTGGCTTCAGAGGTTTTCTCTTGGAAGTGAGAAACCGTCACAGAGGAAGTTGGTCCTAGCTTGTATTTACTGAGCACTTAACTGCGTCCCAGGCACTATTTGGTGGTCCACATGTATTAACTTAGTTAATCCTTACCAAAGCCCTATGAGGTATGTGCTATTGTTTATCCCTTGATTGACTTTGGGGATAGTTAATTTAATTTTGCATTTGCTTAGTAATTAGCTGTTCTTCTTTCTTTACTGTGGTTTTATTTCGTCTGGTGACAGCTCTTCATCCTTAGGAACACTTCCATCTATAGCAGTCCCTCCAAAATACACTGTAGAGATGGTTTGTGGGAAGTAAATTGTCTCAGCTTTTGCTTATCTGGAAATTGTTTAATCCCTCCTTCAAATTTAAATGATAATCTTGCCAGATAAAGTAGTCTTGGTTCCAGGCCCTTCTGCTTCATGGCATTAAACACATCATGCCACTCCCTTCTGGCCTGTAAGTTTTCTGCTGAGAAGTCTGATGTTAGCCTGATGGGCTTTCCTTTGTATGTATGTGATCTTATTTCTGTCTCTGACTGCTTTTAACTGTCTGTTCTTATCCTTGATCTTTTCCATTTTAATTACTATGTGTCTTGGTGTTGTCTTCCTTGGGTCCCTTGTGTTGGGAGATCTGTGGATCTCCATGGCCTGAGAGACTATCTCCTTCCCCAGATTGGGGAAGTTTTCAGCAACTACCTCCTCAAAGACACTTTCTATCCCTTTCTCTCTCCTTTCTTCTAGTATCCCTATAATGCGAATATTGTTTCTTTTGGATTGGTCACACAGTTCTCTCAATATTCATTCATTCTTAGAGATCCTTTTTTCTCTCTGTACCTCAGCTTCTTTGTATTCCTCTTCTCTAGTTTCTATTTCATTTATCGTCTCCTGCACCGTATCCAACCTGCTTTTAATACCCTCCATTGTGCTCTTCAATGATTGGACTCTGACCTGAATTCATTCCTGAGTTCTTAGATGTCTTTCCATACCTCCATTAGCATGTTGATGATTTTTATTTTGAACTCCCTTTCAGGAAGAGTCACAAGGTCCATATCATTTAAATCTTTCTCAGGAGTTGTATTAATAATTTTACTCTGGACCAGGTTTCTTTGGCATTTCATATTTGTGTATGGTGCCCTCTAGTGTCCAAAAGCTCTATTCTGGAGCTGCTCAGCCCCTGAAGCAGTATCGGGGGGGTGGCAAGGGAGCGGTATTGGTGCCTGGTGGGAGGAAAGAGCTGTTCTCTGCTTTCAGGCTGCTGTGCCTGTTTCCACTACCTGAACCAGTGGGCCAAGCACACAGATATAAGCTTTTGTCCCAGAGCAGCTGGATATGGATCCCTGCTTTCCACAAGTGACCAGAATCCCAGTCTCCCCAGGAACTCTGCCTGTCCCAGCTTTCCAACTCCGTAATCAGAAGAGTATGATGAAAGCACCATGCAATGTAGGTTTGTGCTCCCAGTGCAGATCTCTGGGGCTAGGTGTTCCGCAGTCCCAAGCCTTCCACTCCCTCCCTGCTCAGTTTCTCTTCCTCCCACCTGTGAGCTGGGGTGGGGAAGGGCTTGGGTCCCGCGGAGCCACAGCTGTGGTACATTACCCTGTTTGGTGAGGTCTGCTCTTTTCTCCAGGTGTATGCACTCTGGCACCATCCTCTTTCCTGTTGCTCTCTCAGGATTAGTTGCGCCAACTATATTTTCTAATTGTATCCAGTTTTAGGAGGAAGCTTCTGTCTCTCCTCTCACACAGCCATGTTTAATCCTCTCTGAGGTGTGTGCTATTGTTATCCCCGTTTCACTGATGAGGAAACTGAAGTCCATGCGAGTTAAGTAATCGTGCCAGATCACCTTCTAGATAATGGCTGAGCTGGATTCAGGCCCAGGCAGAGTGGGGCCCATATTATGAGCTGCAGCCAGGCCTGTGTAGTCTTTTATTGCTTCTTGATCCTATACTCCTTGTCCTTCCCTGCCCCAGAACTTAGAGCATCTTACCTGTTGAGGTCCTTGTGTTTGTGACCTATGATGTAGCCATAGACATCGTACATTGTGGTTTAATGAAGAGTGGAATCCTGAGCTAAGTAGACACTCATGATTTTTTTTTTTTCGATATCATTTTTTGGAGATCTATCCATATTATATAGGTTCATCTGGTAGATTATAAGTGCTGGCATATTTTGTGCTTTATTTACCCATATGCTAACCCTGTGATAGTCAGAGTGAATATGGAAGAGGCCAATGTGGAACAGGTTACAGTATTTTGGCAACAGAATGACTTTCCTGATTGCTTTCCACAAGTGACCAGAATCCCAGGAAGTAGTTGAACCCTAGAAAGGGTTCTGCATCCCACAGTTTGAGTTGTCTCATCTGTTACAAGGAGACCCAGCTGGATAAGTCTAGCAGAGCTGGCTCTGAAAGTCTTAGCAGTAGAATGCATCCAATTTCTCTGCTCTTGGCAGAGGTAGCCTGAGTTGGGGACTTAGAATTTAGCCAAAATAATTTCTACACAGATACTTCCAAGTTGCTAACATTTTTGTGTGTGTGTGCTTTCAAAAATGTTTTAGATTGGAAGGGTCTTAAGTCTCATTTGCTGTGTATCCCCAATTTCTTGGTTAAAATGGTTTTGTAATTTAAATGTCTGCTTTTAAATGTTATAGCTACCACATAATTTATCTGGAGCTTTGAGACAAACAATAGAGAAGATGAGGACACAACTGCCCTTTGAAAACATTTTCCAGAACAGTCTGGTGCTTACAGAGTTGCAGACATTCTTGCTTTTACTGTCTTTCTTCACTATCATCAAGGACAGTTTTTGTCTGTTCCTTCTTGCTTGATGGGACCACCACACTCCGTATTGGCCCGTGTTGGGATACCTTCAGTTTAAACAGCGTTTAGTGGCAAGCATTAATATAAGCCTTTGGCCATTTCTGAATGGAATTCTTAGAATAGACTGGGGACATATTCTAGGCTGTTGAGGAAAAAAATGGACGTAATTGGTTTTACCTTATTTTCTATCCTAGGAACGAGTGGTGGGCTTCCACGTGCTGGGTCCAAATGCTGGGGAAGTTACACAGGGCTTTGCGGCCGCAGTCAAGTGTGGGCTGACCAAGCAGCAGCTGGACAGCACCATCGGGATCCACCCTGTCTGCGCAGAGGTGAGTTGCCCACACCTGCTCTGCTCTGCGAAAGTGCACATCACCTGGCTTACAGGTGGCAGGCCACAGGCTCTGAAGCGCGTGTCTCTCCAATGTACTTGAGCTGCTGCTCTTCCTCTTTACAGCTTATTGATTGAAAATATACCTCAACAGAAAGTCTTGTCTCTAGAAATGAGTTTTCCCCCTTCAGATATTTTTCACTCCAGGTGTGAACTGTGTGAACTAGATAGCTCAGTCATGTTCTTAAATGGTAAAAATGATGACAGTGGGCTATAGTGTGTGCCTTAAATTGTTTATCTGTCATGTCTCCTAAATAGTTTTCATGGCAGTTAGTTAATGATACCATTGATATGCAGAAAGAGCTTCAATCTTAGTTATCCTGAAGCTATGTCAAGGTTACATGATGTTGCTTACCTCTTTAGCTTTTGTCATCAAAGGATGAGATTTGAAAGTGATGCTTTTAAAAAGTCAAGCAAATAGTAGAACTGGAAATTAGCCACTATGGGCCTCTGGTGTCAGTGTTTCTTCCCACTTGTCTGTGATCTCCTGAGACTTGAGAATTGTGATGTTTACTGTAAAGATTATAAACCAAAAATGTGTCTACACTGGAGAACTTTGCAAAGGCTGTGCAGAAGTCTATTATATAAGCTGAGGTATGGAGTTGAAAATTACAGCTATTATGTGGCCTCTGTAGTTAGTGCTTTCCAGAGTGTACATTGTGCTTACACACACACACACAAACACACAATTGTGTCAGATTTTATTCAGCAACTTGTTAACTGGTTGGTCTCTGCTCATGATTGCCCTCGCATGGCTGAACTCTTTGCTGAGCATACTAAATTTCAGCTTTAGAACCTGGGAAAATGTTGCAGTTGCCTTTTCTATGGTTAGGGATTGTGTCCTCCTGTACTAATATGTACCCGATTGGGATGGAAGCATGAAATAGTAGCATGGTTAATTAACCAGGGTATTATTCATAGAAAACTGCTGTTTTTATGAAAGAAAACTACACTTCTAAAAAAATACAACAGGAAAATTGAAGAGTCTAGCTTAAAGCTCTTAAAGGATGTACAGTATAATCTTTTATTCAGTGTGATGACTCAGACTGCCTAACGAAGAACCAATTAACTTCTTTTTTTTCCAAAAACACTTTTAGTGAGTAGGGTTTCCTAGGGTTGTTGTAATAAAAGTGCCACAGACCGGGTGGTTTAAAACAACAGAAATTTATTCTCGGGTAGTTGTGGAGGTTAGAAGTCTGAAGTCCAGGTGTCCGCAAGGCGTGCTCCCTCCACAGGCCCGAGAGAAGCAGCGCTTGCTGCTGCTCCAACTCTGGCGGCTGCTGGCAGCCCCTGCTGCTCCTCCGCTCACTCCTCACCTCTCCAGGCTCTGCCTCTCCCTCCACATGGCCTTACCTCCTGTGTGTCTCTGCCCAGTTTCCCCCATATAGTGTGAATTCTCATTGGATCAGGGTCCACTCTGATCCAGCATGACCTCGTCTTAACTTGGAAACATCTGCAATGACCCTGTTTCCAAATAAGGTCATATTAACAGGTACGGGGGGTTAGGACTTGAACATACCTTTCTGGGGGACCTAATTCAACTCTGATGAAAAGATAAATGACTTCCCAGTTTGCATTTCCAAGTGTCTAATTTTTTTATCTGCATTCTGCTCTCAGTGGGCTGCTTTGGCTCCTCCCACCCCCTGGCCGTGCTGTGATCCGGCAGTGATGAACAGGCAGCCTCTGGCAGGATGACTGCCCGCGGGGCGGAGAGAGGTGGTCACCAGGCAGGGGTCTTCCTGAGCCCCCGCGTGCAGGGTGGTCAGCCGAGGCCTGCTATCGGTATATCTGGCGTATGTTTGGGAACCTTCTTAAGCATTTGCACTGAGCTCCTCCATCTATTGGTTCTGCTGTGACTCTGAAGCTCAAGAGGCCGAATGTTCCATTGCTTAAATGGGGCTTTGAAAGGTCTCCTCTTCCAATCAGGTGGCTGATGAATGAGAAAAAGTTGGAAGTTGCCTAACTCTATGAAGACGTTTATTGTGTGGTTATGTGTGTGGCACTGTGCTGGGCACTTGGAGACAAGGCGTATCTACGATGTGATTAAGAGCAGAAAGGCAGATGCATGAAGGGCCAGTTACAATCCAGGGTCAGGGTGAACATGAAGTGGCATATGGAGCAGGGGCAGGATGTTGAGGGTGTTCTTGTCTAAGATGAGAGGGTGTGTTGGTGTCAGAGGGAACACCAAATAAAAGGGCTCTGGAAGAGATCACAGCTCATTCAGGGGTTTGTAAGGCCTTTAATACTGCTGTAACTTGGAAGAGCTAGGAGAGAGGTAGGAAATAAAAGGTTATGCTGGACAGGGAGATGGGGGAGGTCATGACTTTGTAAACCAAGGCCAGGGACATTGGGATTCAGCTGAGAGGTTTAAATCAGGGGAATGGTGTGATCAGCTTTGTTGAGAGAAACACTCTGGCTGCACTATGGAGGAGGGGCCAGAGGAGGCCTGTCTACAGGCAGAGGGGAAGAGGTGGTGGCGTAAATTGGGTTGGTGACAGTGGACATCAAGAGGCATTGACAGATTTGAGAGAGAAATAGGAGACAGAGTTGGTAATACTTGCTAACAGAATGGGAAGAGGGAAGAGCTGAGAATGACTCAAATTTGGGGCTTTAAGTAGGAAGCACTAGTGGAAAGGGCAGGCTTGAGGGAGTAACTGACAGGCACGTGAAGGTTTATGAGGGCCTACTGTGCATGTCAGGCTCTCTGCTCTCTGTGAACTAGTCCTTACAGGAACCCCCCAGGGCAGGTGGCAGTGGAGTCTGCATTTGACAGATGAGGACATTGAGGACAGAGAGGTTGAATAACTTGCCCACAGATCCCAGCTTGGAAGGGGCAGAACCAGGGCTCAAACGCAGGCAGTCTGGCTCCCGAAGCTGTGCAGTATGCACTTCCACACACCTTTCTACAATATTTGGCATAGAATCTAAAAAATGGAGGTGATTTCTTGGCAGCATGAACGTAGTGGAAACACACAGACCTGGGTTGTAATCTCACTTAGCAAATTCTTGGTGAACCTGGCCGTGTTATCCAGCTTTTCAGAAGCTTATTTTCCACATTATATGAAATAGAGGTAATACTTAACTCAGAGGGTTGATGAGCAATGCTGTGTGGAAGTGTCTAGGAGAGTTCCCAGCACTTCATAGATACTCAGTAACTGTATCTGTTGGCTGGTTTTCCCCAGGGCATTTCATTATTAGAAGATGTGGTTTGACTAAATGTCATTATTGCAGTGTTTTTAAGTGAGGTGGGAAGGGATGTGTCTTTTGAAAAAGCTCTTAATGGTGATTATTTTGAACTAAAAAGCAAAAAACAAAAACCAGTTCATCTGTTTCTTCTATGCCCCACATTCACCAGACTGCTCTCTGTATCTGTGAGCATGGTGTGTTTGGGGTTTTTTGTTTCTAGCTTCCTCATATACAATTTCTGTACCATTTATCTGTTGATGGACACTTAGGTTGTTTGTACAAGTTGGCTGTTGTGAATAATGCTGCAGTGAACATGGGGCTATGGATATCTTTTCAAATTAGTGTTATTGTTCGGGTAAATATCCAAATTTATCCAAAGATTCCGGGATCTTACAGTTTCTAATTTTTTTGAGAACCCTCCATACTGTTTTCCCTAGTGGCTGCCCCAGTTTATGTTCCCACCAGCAGTGCCTGAGGGCTCCCTTTCCTCCACAGCCTCGCAGAGGCTTGATATTTCTTTACTTTTTGATTATAGCCATTTTAACAGGTGTGAGGTAAAATCTTACTGTACTTTTAACTTATATTTCCCTGATCATTAGTGATATTTAGCATCTTTTCCTGTATGTGCTTGTTATCTGTGTATCTTTGGAAAAATGTCTCTTTGGATCTTCTATCCATTTTTAATCAGATTGTATATATGTATATTTTTACTGTTGAGCTTTATGAGTTATTTGTATATTTTGGATATTAGCCCCTATCAGGTACATGATTTGCAATTATTTTCTCCCATTCAGGCAAGAGAGGAGGTGGTTTTCTTTTACCCCTGGGTATGAACAACCTGCTTAGAAACTAGATTTTGAAAAACCAAAGGGTTTCAATCCCTGACTATGGAAATTTTTTTAAAGTTGCTTGATTGAGATGGAAAATGAATTTGATTGGTAGGGGATTTTAGGGACAGAGGCTGGGTGTTTTGGCTTGGACAGTGATTGGATTTGCTTTTGGACCCATTGTTTGTCATGTCCCGCCATCTGCCGTACAGGGTGCCACTCGGTGTTACTAGTGCATATGAGATAAGGATGGGAACGAAGAAAGGTTTAGAAAGTTTAAGAGCCATTTGACAATTTCTTATCTAATAATAAAAAATTGGGTTTTATCGTACATGTCTTCAAAATTTCATTTTCCTAATGTATTTTTACTGAATTTCACAAAAGTCAGTCCATTGGACAGATTAGAAATAATAATAATTTGAAACTGGTCCTGAGCACCATTTAAAGTGTTCAGAAGTAGCCACAGCTCCCTGGCCAGCTGCTGGTGGTTTGTAGAAAGAATCAATGAATGAGGTCTTCTGTACCACTTGATAAAATTACCTGGGCAATTGAGCAACCTTTGGCTCTGAGGAATGATTGCTTAGAGAAGCTGACAGATTTCTCAGTTGAAGAATTGCTGTAAAAAGAGAGACTATTGTTTTGGCTAAAAGCCAGTTGGTGTCAGTAGGAGAGGGAGTCTTGATGCCTGGAGCATCAGTAATACATTAGCATTATTCAGTGTGAAGATAGTATGGTGATAATTTATTCTGGGCATCTGAGCAGCAGTAATTGAATAGGAAACTGATTACACATCATTTGGAGTAGTAATTTCAACTAATCAAGTTTATTTGTAGGGAAAAAATAATACTCAAGGGAAAGAACATTAGAAAAGACCTGATTTTGAGATGTCTTAAAATGAATTTAGTGCTGAACATCAAAAGTTTTGTTT